TCCCCCAGTCCATAGCCCATCACCACCCCCCACCGTGTTTAGCCCACCACCACCAGTGCATAGCCCCCCCACTCCCCCCAGTCCATAGCCCATCACCACCCCCAGTTTTCAGCCCACCTCCCTCAGTTCATAGCCCACCACACCCCCAGTTTTCAGCCCACCTCCCCCAGTCCACTAGCCCACCACCACCAGTCCAGCCCACCACCCCCAGTCCACAGCCCACCACCCCCAGTCTTCAGCCCACCTCCCCCAGTCCACAGCCCACCACCCCCAGTCTTCAGCCCACCTCCCCCAGTCCACAGCCCACCACCGCCATCAGCACCACCACGGGTGGCATCACCACCACCTCCAATAGCCTCTCCACCACCCCCGGTGGCCTCTCCACCACCTCCAGTTGCCTCTCCACCACCCCCAGTGGCATCGCGCCCACCTCCAAGAGCCTCTCCACCACCTCCAGTGGCCTCTCCACCACCCCCAGTGGCATCGCGCCCACCTCCAAGAGCCTCTCCACCACCTACAGTTGCCTCTCCACCACCCCCAGAGGCCTCTCCACCACCACCAGTGGCCTCTCGACCAACCCCAGTGGCATCGCCCCCACCTCCAATAGCCTCTCCACCACCGCCTCCTCCAGCCCGCTCTCCACCTCCGCCGGCTCCTCTCGCTTCTCAACCACCACCACCACCGACCGACGATGACATTGCCCTTCCTCCTACCATCGGTATCAACTACTCATCTCCTCCTCCACCAGTGTACCCCAACTACTAAGCCCTTGACTCCCTCACTCTCTCTCTTGAGCTGACTGATCATGGTGGCCCCTCCCCACCTCATGACTAGAGGAATGAAGGGCTGAGAAACATGGAGAAAAAGACCCGGCTATGGCCATGGCAGAACCAGTGGGGATGTAATGGACTACGATCACTACGTACTCCATAGTCTATAGTCCATACTCTCTTTTTACTAACGAATTTATATTTATTAAAGCCTTTTATAGCTCCATTGAGTCCCCTTATACTTCGGGTTTCTTTTGTCTTATTTTATTTATTTATTTTTAGCCTTTGGAAATTTTCGAGTAAGCGCCATTACCATTAATTTTTTGGTGTTGTGATTCCTTGGACAAATGTACGTTGAATTAGTGCGAAAACTTGTTACGTGAGTAACTCTAATTCATATTTTTATGCCATCTATTATTCTCTCTCTCAATTGGATAAAACAAACCTCAATAATCTATGATGGACTCCATTTATGTCTATATTTTAGTACATGTATTCTTTCTCTCTAAAATGCCATCTATTTTTTTTATTACTTTCTACTATTTATATTGGTTGTGGTTCATGTATAAGAAACATATTTGATGTTCTACAATATGCAGACCCAAGGTATAAATTATCCCTTGTTCGTCTAAAAACAATTGAAACTAACGGTCCAAATGTTTTTTCATAAAATTATTATTTTTATTTCTTAATTTTTTTTTATTTTTTTGTATTCATGATCTCCATTTTAGATATTACAAGTCCTTAAAAATTGGGTCCAAAAATCCATGTAAAAAATAGATTTTTAAGAATCAACTAATTTCTACATGGACTCATAGAAACCATGTCCTTTTGTATAAGGTTGCAACCCTAAACCATCAAATTACGACACACCTTAAATTTTATCATAAATATAATTTTGGTGTAAAATTTCTTTTGGATGACTTGGGAATCTATTTTCTATCTCTAATAATAAAATAATAAACTCTAAAACTGAAGTAGATCCGTAAACATTTTAAAATTTTGAAAATGGACTGTCCAAATAATACGTTG